CGCGAGGGGTCGATTGTTGCAAGGTCGGAGCATTTGAGACTGGGACGACGACCAGATCCTGCTGTTTCTTTGAGCAGTGACTTGAGATAGTACCAACAGTAGTAGCAGCTTAGATTGATTCGGGAAATAGAGTTTGGGGAGGCAAGACCTTAGCTTGCTCATCTACTGAGTTGAAATTATTAATGATATATTCCAGTTCTGAAAAAATAACAGGAGGGTTTGAAATGGTCGCTTGAGGGTTTGATGTGTTCGATGTATGGTCTGCGTCTGGTAGGTGTTCCGGCGCCGTGAGGGGCGGCGACGCCGGGAAGGCTGTCGAAGACATGGCTAAGCGGTGGACGGCGACGAGTAAGGGCAGGATTGTAGAGAGAGAAACCTAGAGAGAAGTGAGAGCATTTTGTCTTTTTTTCTTTCTCTGTGTTCTCTGTAGTTTATTATGTTGGTGCTAGGTTAGTTATATATCTGTGCTAGGTTAGTTTTATCATGTTGCAATGTTAGTTGTATGGTGTTGCTATGTTAGTTGTCTGTTGGTGCTAGGTTAGTTATATATCTCTGCTAGGTTAGTCTTATCATGTTGCAATGTTAGTTGTATGGTGTTGCTATGTTAGTTGTCTGTTGGTGCTAGGTTAGTTTTATCATGTTGCAATGTTAGTTGTATTGTTGCTATGTTAGCTTTATGTTGGTGCTAGGTTAGTTATAAATCTCTGCTAGGTTAGTTTTATTATGATGCAATGTTAGATGTATGGTTTTGCTATGTTAGCTTTATGTTGGTGCTAAGTTAGTTTTATCTATATCTGCTAGGTTAGTTTTATCATGTTGCAATGTTAGTTATCTGATTCTGCTAGTTTAGTTGAGTGATGGTGCTAGGTTAATTGTTTGTAGTTGCAACTACATGATAAAAATTTGCAGGGTCACATAACAAAACTTTGAAAAACCATAACTTTGCGTAGAAAGCTCCGTTTTGGACGATTTTTTTTTATTTGAGGTAGCTCGACGAGATCTACGCAGCTGCAAACAGCCAAAGACAGTTTGGCCACCCGAATTTAAAAAAAAAAACGCCTTTTTCTTGCTTTAATTTCATTTTTAAGAAAAAAAATACATTTTTTGTATTTTTAATCCTCTATATCTCCTCAATCGAGACTCATTTTTCGAAATTTTTTTTTTCAGAACAATGCTCTCAACTTCTATTTTATGTACCAATTGAAAAAAATTAGAAAATGCAGTCTTTGTTGTTGCTAGGTT